AATGTTGCTGTTTTTTTTTTTTAAATCTTATAACTATCTTGTTATATGATGATTATTATTTTTAAAAAACCTAGTAAACAGGACACTTCTTAGAAAGAGAGTTTGCTCCCCTGTATATGTTCAAAGCTTGTTTCCAGCTGCTTCTCACAGCAAGCCTCATAACTCCAATGGGGGTTACTGGGAAGATTATATGCTCCATGGGTTGGGAAAGTTCTCTGTGGTCTTGGGATTATAAAACCTCTTCAACAACAGTGAGTGGCTTCAAAACTGGATTGTATTCAAGCTTTAAACAAAGCTGCTTTTTCTAAGCATTCTCGAAAATCTGACATTTTGCAGATACAAGGTTTGCGTCTGAAAGTGACTGTGATTGAAAGAAAGCATGTTTACTGAGCTTTCTGGTTTACAGACATGCTGCTTTTGTCTGACACCAGAATATCTCGGGTCTATGTGGCTACAGCCCTTTCATTGTGCAGAGCTGCAGTCCATTTATTGTCCTCGGCTTCAGCCGTAATGGTTAATGATGCAGAGTATGATGGTGCGATATATAGCTAACTCACCCACGCTCAAAAGACCTTTTTTTTTTCAGTGCTGTGTCTCCCCAGAGACGGGCATTTTGACTTTAGATGTTACTGTCAGGTGTTCTCCTGTTCAGTGTTTAGTGAAAGTGGAACACCTGTGTGCATGTTGGGCCACTGAGTTGAACTTCAAAGAAAGAAAACAGGTTTTTCCACAGAGAGCCGATGAAAGCTTTTCATCCACGCTGCTTGACTAGGGATTACGTAAACAGGCAACAAAGAGGAATACAGTATGTGTAATCTCTCATTCTCCAGCTTTGTTGGCCATGAGTAAATCCATTGTTGTCGAGCAGAGACTGCTTTCATAGCTGACTTTTTTCAAGCACTGGCATTTTTTTTTAAAACTCAACCTTTGAGTTGATGCTGCCCTGCAACAGATAGGAGAGTATGAAAAAAACCCTTTTCATACAAATTTGGACTCATACAAGTGCATTCAGTCCTTTTGATGGATCTAAGAGCTGTTTATGAAAACAGATGAGCACAAACAAGTCTGTTACGCCATGTTATGAGTGATTGGTTCCTGAAGGGTTCATGCTGTCCTACACCGACACATATCCAGACTAAAATGGCCTTGTTCAACTCAACAATCTGTGTTTGAACTGTTGCCAGTATAGAGTGTAAAATTCAGCAGGCTGCTCTGTTACGCCAGCATCTAAAACCAACTTTTTTTATTGCTGCTTGTTGGCATTGTGGGAGTCCAAAAGTTTATTGGAGCTATAACTAAGATGTATACTGCCCTACAGCATAAAGTAATCATCATGTGTCTGCAGGCGGATGACGGGGCTTCTGATCAATACCAATGACTCAATGACTTCAGGAGGTTTTTCTGGCTTTTAAAATCACTTTGGAGGTTGTTGGAACTAAAGCAAGGGTTATAAATGTAACTGTGGTTCTATGAATTATGGCTGATGTAGAGATCATCATCGTTTGTTTAGGAACGAAGTGTGCAGACATGCTTATACAGCCTCTCGTGAATCATAATCAAGAATCAAGGGTTTACAAGGTTACTAGCAACTAGTCATGACGGGATACGTTTGGACTTCTCAATTAATGTAATATCCGTTTGTCAAATATATTCTAGCATTATTGGTCGCTGTAATTATTTCCTTTTTTCATCACCAGTCAGCCGTTTGAGTTAGCCAAAGCAAGCTAGTGGGTATTTTCCAAAGCAGGAACATTCCTACTGTGTAGTTCTGCACTGTTTCCTTACTGAGCTGTGGTGGAGGGATATGACGTAGTAGTCACGTATAGACAAAATGCAAAGATGGCCAACACAGACCACAGAAATCTGTGTTAGCGTCATAGAGCATTTTAATCATGAAGGCTCATCGTTCCAGCTCTTTGCCCGTTTATACAGAGGGTACCTTCATTAATAGTTGCAGTTCTCTGAATCTGAATTCTACTACAGGTCACAGAAGCCATGCCAGAGAGCTGTTGATGTTGCAATTCCTTGATCATTAAAAGAGGTTAGTGAAAAATCACTTGACTTGAAAAGACTGGGGAATTACAATATACTCCACTGAGGGACATAAGGCTGCCCTCTCTTAAAGTGATCTCATGTAACTTTAGCTGAACAGCGGCAACTGTTGCAACAAGTGGCAATTAATACACCACATTCCCCCACCCACCTCATCAAAGGCCGCTGCTTTGTCAGCACTCCTTTAGCATCGAAGATCAACGCATGAAGGCCCTGTTCAGTGACTGTGTGCGACGCACCAGCTTATCCACTAACCCCCATGTGAACCCTACCGTGGCATCAGTGGACAGTAAGAGCGCAGTATTAGTAGTAAGTGAGAGTCAGCTCAGGGTGGGTAGATGTGGTGGTGGATGGGTCAAAAGAACACACTTTCAACAAAAAGGCCGCTGTTTGTGATCCATGTAAAAGTAAACGTTCACTTGTCGCGTTTATTTTTTGTAACGTGAGCATTAGTCACGAGAGTCGTTAGTATTGTCACGTCAATTTTCAAAGGACACTGTGCATGTAACGAGATGTGCTGATTGATAATGGTAAAGACTCAAATGTTGCACTGTAGAGACAAGTCATAAAGTCGGTGAACTGACAGTAATATAAGTTTAACAACTGCAGTATGTATATCTAAAGTTTGCTGACATCAGCTAACATTATCCCTCGTAGACTAATGGTCATACCAAGTATAGGTTGTAGCACTTTAACCCCCGAGTGTATTAAATTAAGTAAATTCAACTTTTCATATCTGAGAGAGTCAATATGTTGTTCCTTTCTTCAAAAGTTACATCATCTCACTTTAAGAGCAGCTGCCAGGTCATTCTGTCTTGGATTAATTAATGTATACCATAATGGAAAAAAGTTAGTGCATGTCGAAAGATATGTCAAAAAAGTCATAAAATATAAGCCATAACTTTTTTAGTCACATACTATGACTTAGTATTACGTTTTTTCTTCACACTAAATTGTTACCTTTTATAATGTTTTTTCAACAAAATATACTTTGACTTTTTAATTCATACCATGAGTTTTTATTCCTTTTTTTCCAAAAAAACTATGCTTTGACTTTTTATATTTTCATGACACACAAAATAGTATTAGATTTCTTTTACATACTATTCATTGACTTTTTTTTACTTTTTTCAATATGCCATAATATGAAATTTTTTTCAACACACTATATATATATATATATATATTTATATATATATATATATATTTATATATATATATATATATATATATATTTATATATATATATATATATTTATATATATATATAAATACTGTACATATATTTCTTTATGTTATTATATGAATAATTATTCATTTTTCGACCTGCTATATAATGACTTTTTTTCAACATGCGCTACAATGACTTATTTTTCTTCTCTTGCATTTCCCGCCGACTAAAAACAAAATTTGTAGAAAACCTTAAATAATATAACATAAATCTCGCACAGCTCGTCAACAGGGCGGCATTGCCGTCTTGTGACAACATCTGTATTATTGTGATGATCTTAACTGAAAGCCAACAGAGAGGGTTGGAAGCAAGAAGGCAGGCCCACAGCCTTGCCAAACTGCAGATATCTTTTTAATGTTTGCATTCTTGGAAAGGCCTTTCTTCCCATGTGGAGCTGGGAAAAATGTCCCACACAAGGACACAGCAATCAACACTTTCTTTTGATTTGATTATTACCGTGAGCCAATTCAGAGCAATGCATATGCATGTTTTAAGTACAACCAAACAAGCAGCTGGTTTCACTCAATAGCTCCTGCTAGCTAGACCTAAAAAAAGTGCTGATCAGAAAAATCTTTAGCTAAAGTGCTGTTATTTTATGAAAACCTGCACGGACATGGCTGTTGATGGCGCATACTGTAGATGATGGCCATTTGGTTTAAAGTCGTGACTGGAAGGAGTCGGCCACAACTGTCGCCATGTTGTGTATATTGCGTGGGAGCTTGTTAGCGCTGTATCCAAAACAAGGAGAAGAACCAGATGTGGCCATTAGCAGATGGTTCACGAGGACATCCTCCAAGCTTGGACACTACATACTACATGACATCAGCACCAGATGCTTTAGTCATTTAACACCCACCCTCTCAAACCATACAGCCGTGCTGAAAGTCTAAAAATCTCAATCTTACACTTTAGATCCTCTTTGGCAGATTTTTTCATGAGGTGTTTGGTGAAGGCAATTAACCCTAATTTGTCAGTGTAACAACTTTGTCCAATCCTCACTCTTTCGGCCAAAAGCTAGAATGCTGCTCATTCATCATCGTTAAATATATTTAAAATATAGCTGAGGTTTGGTTCTGAAATTCTACGCATTTATTTTGAATTTAAATGACGTACAAGATGTTTAATAATAAAAGCCAAGGAGTTACAGTAATGAATATAAATCACTTGGCACACGTGTCTGATCCACTTCAGCTTTATCCATGTGTTGTGATGCCTGCGGTGTACATTTTTTGGCCCTCTGCCACCAAATCACCAACAGTGAGGAAAGTATTAACAGCATAGCCTGTGGTTTTGCAGCCCAACTACAGAGAAAAAAATCACTTCAGTGAATAAAAAAGGGCCATTGGATCCATAGAAAACAAGAGGTATCTGAGATAGGCATGGATGAGGAAATAATTAGTCTGGTAGAGGCATTCCTGTGCTCAATAACACAAGTTTGCTGTGCTTTTTATTATCCATCTTCAAAAAGTGCAGACCTCCTCAAAGTGCAATGGCAGTGCTAACACAAGCTCTCCTGTTCCAGACAAATCAATAAGTCGGCCTTGAATTTCATAATGTTTGGCACTTTGAGTAGGAAGGACACTGAGAAATGGCCTCCAGCATAACATCAGATACCAGACATTCATTTGTGTCCTCCTGAGAATGCTTTACAGCGCTGTAACATCAACTTATTGCATTCCTCAGTCCTGTGTATTTTGTTGAATAAATTAGCAAAAGATTTTTCAGCAGTAAAGCAAATATGTTTATTAAGCACTTTAATATACATCAGAAAATTCCACTTCATATAATACAGGAATTATTTTAAAATGAAAGTTGAATGTACATGTTAAGCTATTTACAATCCAATCACTGACAGTCGAATCAAAGATGAGACAAAACACAGTCAAGCAAACGAGATAACTGCTCAATAAGACTGTACAGTATGTTTCCCAACACTGTTCCTAGACCCGATCCTGCCATGGATCCTTCTGTTGACCCTTCACGGCATACGTTTGAGCTATTGTTGCACTGAAGAGCTGAGAGCTTTCGCTGGGGCTTAGAAGTGTTTGTGCATGCGATAGGTTTCTACTCCCCCCGATCCCAGTTCTCGGCAAAAAATAGCTCACTGTTGACAATATGAAAAGCCTGCAAAATATGACACAGCCTGCAAACGCTAACACAGCTCCACACAGCTCATGAAAAACAGATGTTTCAGTTCCCTCAGCGTCACAGTCGAGCACCTCCTCCCCTCCGTCTCCCGCGGGGTTAAGTCCTGTTGAGCCGAGAGTCAGCTTCTCACAGGGAGGAGGTGGGACAGAGTCATGTTGTTTCAACTTTGGCTTCACAACTCTGCATTTCAAACATCATTCACAGCTATGAGCCGTATTGTGCCATGCCACTGACAAACCCAGCAGGAATCACTGGAAATGAACCACATGACCAGAAGGAAACAAAGCTTGGGTTTTGTTTCTTGCATTGCAGGAGGTTATACATGTAACTCTGCGGACAGATGCATTTTTTTTAAATTGCTGCTTAGACTTGAAATTGCTACATTTAGCACCAAACTTTTGCTGACGGTACACAATGGGTTATTTAAATAGTTGACATGATATGAACACACAAAATAATAACACAAGCAACTGAGAAATCCCATAGGGACAAAATGAACTTTTTTTTACATTTTCAACGAACCTCCCTCTTTCTTGGATATTTATAATACACAAATGCACAAAACCAACAAAATTGGAAGTCCAAAATAACTGCAGGCAACTTCTGAACACAGCACCATGGTAGAGCGTAATGCAACAGAAAATGCAGCAACAGTGGCTTTTTCCAAAAATAAATATGCTTGTATATACTCGTGAAGTAAATTGCCATAGCTATTAACATGTTACACACAACATAGGCTGAGCACATTGATCCAAGGTTAACACAGATTATTTGGGGTCTCTAGAAAGGCAGACTATCAATGCGCTTGAATTCATACCGTCAGTTACTGTTATGTCCTCTGGTCTTGTGACAATGTACTCAGTGGTACATTGCTGTCAGTGTGAAGAAGTAGACAGAACAAACATAATATAAAATAATAAAAAAGGCATTGGTATGTTTCTCTCAAACAATGACTGAAACATGGATGGGATACAAAGTGAATAGAACAAATGCATGTCTGTCATTTTACTCTTTTAAAAGTGCATACACCGTTTATTAAATAGCATAACATTAAATTAAAATGATAGTTTGCATGAATACATGAAGGAGGCTGTAACAGATGTAGGCACATCGATGTATCAGTTCACATAAGCCTTAGGCAGCAATCAACAATCGTCCCTAGGTATGATTTTGAGGTCTCCCACTGATGAAATCTAGTCATTTGTATGCAGATGAAATCAGTTGCTTTGGCACATTCCCTCCACTGTCTGCACGACGAATAGCATTCAAGACATCTGAAACAGGAATACTTTGGGTTAATGTTTTGTTTGGGAGGAAAAACAGTCTACTCATCCAGATTGAGGCATTCTTCATGCAAGTCTGACTAAATCCAACTAATGACATTTGTGTTGAGCGCAGTCAGTTATTAGCCACTGTAAGTTAACGTGCCGTCACCCTGACCTTAATTTCAACTTTCAGACAAATGCTTGATGCATTTCAACAAGAGCACACACTGGAGGACTGTTTTGAAACGCATCTCTTACCAGCTATAATGGAGTCTCCTTTTTGTAGTTAAACCCAGGGTCTGATCCTTCAATCTGCAGTTTGAGGGCTTGTTTAAGGCTTAGCTCTGTTTCCCCTATGGGATAGTTCTCCAGCACATCCTGGTGGCCTCTGTTCTGTCCAGTCCGAGGAACTGATACCCTACTCAGGAAAACCTGATTACCCTGTAGATGATAGTTGGGGTTGGTCATGATGCCATTCCTCTTCTTCTCAGCAAGGCTCTGCTGCTGGATGAAGAATTGCTCTTGGCTTTGCCCCATTTCCTGCCGAATTGAACCACCAATCACAATCTTGCAATGGGGATCCTTCACTGAAATGTTCGCTACTGATTTGTTGAGAGCAACCCTCTTGTCAAACTGTGTCATCTCGTACTCCAGAACTTGACCGTGGGTTGATCCGCTGTTCTTGACTTTCTTCTTGTCTCCCAGAGCTCCTTTACTATTTGATGTCCCATTTCCGGTCTTACTTCCCTTTGATGACTTGAGACCAGATTTTAACAGAGTCCAGTCAAAGTCATTGGATGGAGATGATGGCTGCTGACTGATAGACTTGGTCGTGGAGGAGGGGGACACAATAGACTGTCTGCTCCGGCTGCGAGGCAATGAGTGCTGCTGGATTTGTTCTGTGAATGTCAGTCCGTGGAAGCTGTCGATGGGCACAGTCTGGGCTGTGGCTGTGGATGATGTGGTTCTCAAGGAGGAGTTCTTTGAACTCTTGAGGGAATTATTTGAAAGGGAGGACTTCTGTCTGTCAACTGTTGAATCAGGAGATTCTGACGGTGAACTGAAAGCATGGACGGGTCCGTTGGGTAGACCACGTCCAGACGACTGCATATCTCCTGCACCGGTGCTGCCAGAGCTACTGGATTTAATGGTGAGGGACTGCATTTTACCAGTCACAGTCAATGGGTTTTTCCCTTCCATGGTGTGTACTGGGGAGGGATTGCAGCCATTTAAAGTTGTACCCCCATACTTTTCCAGAAGCTTTATGATCATTGAATGGCCACCTTTTGCAGCCACTCGCATTGCTGTGCGTCCAAACTGATCAGCGTGGTTGGGGTCAGCACCGTTTTCAAGAAGTATTTGCACAACATCGATGTGACCCTCTTGTGCAGCTATGCCTAGTGCTGTTGCTCCCTGGTTACACGTATGATCCACATGAGTGCCGTTCTCAATCAGAAACTGCACAACTTTCGTGTGGCCTTGCCACGCAGCAGACTGGAGGGCAGATCGCTTCTCATTGTCACAGGCATTCACATCAGCATGATAGTTAATCAGCAGCCTCACCATTTCAACATGCCCTTGCCAGCAGGACACGTGGAGGGCAGTTCTGCCCTCGGTGTCACAAGCTTCCACATTCGCTCCGTTTTCAAGAAAATATTCTGCCATAGCCAGCTGATTTTCAAGTGCCAATATGTAGAGTGTTGGGCGTCCGTCTGCGTCTTTGCAATCTATATCAGCACCGTGGCTCAGCAGCAGCTCAACAATGTCCCTGTGGCCTTCCAGTGCAGCCACCCTGAGAGAATTCCTCCCATCATATCCCCTCTCGTCAATGCACGACTTGTTTTCCAGAAGAATTTGCACACAGTCATAATGTCCTTCTTGTGCAGACAATATCAGCGGTATTCTCCCATCATTATCAACCTCTGTACAACGAGCACCTTGCTCGATAAGGGCGTCGCACACTTGGCGGTGGCCCTCAAAAGAAGCCATGTGTAGCGGGGTCCAGCCTGCATCGTCCCTGTGGTTCTCGTCCAGACCTCTGTCCAGCAGAGTTCTGACCACCTCTACGTTACCCTGAGCAGATGCAATGCTCAGCACAGTCCTTCCCTCACTGTCGATGCTATCAACAGCAGCCCCCCAAAAGAGTAGTGTGTTGACAACAGAGGCATGGCCCATTGATGCAGCAGCAAGAAGAGGCGTGCGACCATTGTTGTCCGTGTGATCCACGTCAGCCCCGCCTTCCAAAAGCAGATCAACTACATCGACATGTCCTTCATAGCCAGCCACAAGGAGAGGAGTCATGCAGTCTTTATCACAGTGGTCCACCTCTGCTCCCCTTTCAATCAGAAGGCTCACGACAGAAGCATGGCCTTTACTTGCAGGGACACAGAGAGCAGCGACTGAGAGGGCAGTCCTTCCATCCACATCTTCATGATTAACTTCGGCCCCGTGGTCCAAGAGGTGCTCAACGATCTCTCTGTGTCCCATGTATGCTGCGGCGATGAGCGCTGTTCTTCCTTCATTGTCTGCCTTGTTGACCTCAGCCCCATGCTGAAGGAGGTTCAACACGATGTCTTCATGACCTCCCCAAGCAGCAGCTCTCAGAGCAGTTCTACCATCAGCATCAGCACAGTCCACTTTGGCACCGGCATAGAGCAGAGCAGATACTACCTCTGAATGTCCACCCCAAGCTGCTGAGCGCAGGGATGTCCATCCATCATGATCTGTGTGGTTTATGTTGGCCTCACAACCAATTAAACAGTTGACCACTTTGGTGTGGCCCTGCCTTGCAGCAAGAGTAAGTGCCGTTTGTCCATGGTTGTCTTCTAGCTCCATGTTTGCCCCTCTAGATATGAGCAAGTTGACCACGTCAAGGTTTCCACTGTATGCAGCGTTGGCCAGCAGAGTTCTCCCACTGGAGTCACACTGGTTCACAGATGCCCCGTTGTCTAGCAATGTCCTTATTGAGTCCTCTCTTTCCAGAGCCTGTTGTACAATACACGACGCGTGGTCGTCCTCATTGTTTACATGAGCTCCAGCTTTGACCAGAAGTTGCAGGACCTCCTGTTCTCTTGGTATGGAGGTGGTCAGAGAGTCTTTAGCAGGAGTTCCATTCCAAACCATCCAAAGAGCCAGATTAAATGGCTCAATCTGCAGATTGGAACTGACAAGGTGCAGTGCAAATTCCTGCACTTCGAGTGGTTTGAGCTGCTTTGCCCGGCAAGTAAAACTCATCGCCAACATCCTATGTCCCTCTGCTGCATTGCACAAGTACTTCTGGGTGCAATGCTTGACATCTAGTAGCCACTCTGCAAAACTGTAGTGAAATAGGATTTTAGTACTCCCAAGGCCATCGACCAACAACTTGGAGAGAATGTCCATCTTTTTCTGAAACTCTTCCATAGTCAGTGTCATGTTTTTGGTCCAGACTGCATGGTACAGTTCCTTGACCGTAAGCGTCCTGCACGTTGCCAGGATGACATTAAGGATTGGCTGGACTTTGGCAAACTGTTTTCTGACAAATAGTCTCTGGCAGAGCCACAGGTAGAGGCCATTGAGGGTGCCAGGGATGTCACGGATCTCGCGAAGCATGATAAAGTTCTCCACCACGCCATCCAGCACACGCTCCAGGTAGAGGAAGCAGCCACTGCTCTTGATGTGGAGTTGGTTGAGCATCTCGGCTGTCTCCTTGGTCAGGTGCTGCCTCAGGGCCTCCTCCTGGTCCAGCCTGTGGAGGATGTACTGTTGCACATCCTTGACGATGTAGGCCTTGCGCAGATCATCGAGGCTGATTTTGCGGAATCCTGTAAGAGAAGAAATGGACATTAGCTGGGTCTGATAATAAATAGATAATATGTCAGGGTGATCTAGAGGATTTAAAAAGACACTTTGTGGACAGTATTTGAAATGATTTAGTGGCGGCGACAGTGGAGATCATAGTAGTGTTACTTTCCCCACAGTGCCGCTTGAGTCATTATATTATTTCTGACCTTGAGATCATACCCAGTATTTATCCACTGATCTTTCACCTTTGGATAATTAGGTTAAGCCTACCCTTAATTCCCTATGGCATAGGATTATTAACAGTAAAGCCATGTTGTTAAAGAAAAAACTTTCAGAGGAATTGAGTGCATAACCCCTCTGGCTGCTGGAAGCAGACATGATCAGCAGGAGTCCACGATCAGTTAAGTCCTTAAAGAACTAAGGAACAAAAATCATGGATATTAGTGCACTAAATTGTGTCTGATGCAGAGGCAATTATGTCTGTAATAATGTGTGTGCCTGGGTGAGAAAGAAAACAGCAATAATTTCAGTAAAAAGGTGACTGAAATAATGACTATATAATACTAAAATATACCAGTGCTATTTATCCTTGTACGGCAACAATCAAATGTATTGTTCCTGATCAAAAGACAAACTTTAAGGGAAAGTACCAGTCGTGGCGCCAAGACTGGTGACTCAAATATTGAATAAAATAGTAACCGACTACAAAAAACTGTTCTTTCAACACTTATCTTGGGGTGATTGATGATCTAACTCGTTCATTGACTTTTGAGGTTATCAGCACTTAATCAGCAGGAGCAAGTCTGTGGCAGGGGCTGAACATGTACAATAATCGAAATGGAGGGGAGCATTGGAGACATTTTCATGCCTGGAGCACATCAGTGGTCTGTAAAACATCTCTCCAGTGCCTCACTCATTATCTTTCTACATGCTCCCAGCTCAGACCTTTACAAATTATCACAGTGGGTGTTAATGAGTGATCTTTAATGGAAATTCCTCTCTGAGACGGGAAGAAATGGCTCCTTAATGGCCTTGGCTAATGGGCATAAAGTGAAGTTTCCTCCATGTTAAAACAATCTGCTCATGATCCGTGCAGCCAGCAGCCAGAGGGCATTGAGAGCATTTTTGCATACATATATTTACAGTTCCCATGGTTCTCGGGGTTACTGGGACAGGAAAAAAATGTCACCAGAGGCTCCGTCAGTGTTATTGACATACTGTATTTCACAATGACGAACAGGCCTCCTACTGTGGGAAAAGCAGTTGCATTTTTACCCTAAAAAGGTGCACTTTGCTGGGCAGAACATGGACGTATTAACATTAACCTTTTCAAAGTAAGGCAAGTAAATCTCATTATTGCATCTCAATATTTCACATACTGACAGGAAACTACTCCCAAAAGATTTTGTTAAAAAGAATCTGTCAAATGGAGCACCTGCACTTTAATCTTTAACGGCTCACTGTGTTGATTATGTAACACAACTGTTCCCCGGATATAATATGAATCTGACTCTGGTCACCAAGCCTGAGGCAGTGCACTCTTCATCCGACTGCTATTGTATGTGTAGAAAAGACTGTGAAATGCTACTCCACATAGAGCTGATGCAAACCACAGCTGGAAGCCAGATAACAGACCCGACGAGTTCAACGAGCGTTCCCAAGCAGGAACCGACAGTTTGGACAACAGACCCTGGTAAACAGAAGGAGCGGTGGGGTTTCTTTATCCTCCGCCTCAGAGTTTGTTTAAGATAAGCATGCCCTCACAAAAATCTTCTTTTACTTTGTCCTTGAGGCCTTTGTTATGTTTCAAACTGGGATAAAGCAGATTCAATTGAAAGGCAACAACACCTCAGATACTGACTGTGTATTAAATCCTGTGATACATGTCAGAAAATAAGAACCAGGGAGGAGATGATTTTGGTTCTCAGATTTTATTATGGGCACAAATTACCTACCATAAAATGTTTAGTGGCAAAGTTGCAACCCCAGACAAGTAGGGAGTAAGTTCATTACTTCATTGTAATATGGATGATATAGACGTACAAGTTTAGCTCTACAAAACTAAACTGGAACAAAACCTGAGAGAAATATAACAATAAAATAAAAGCTTGTGTCGATAAATGTAATCTAATGTATGACAAGGGGAGAAGCTGCGCAAACATTCTAAATTAATGAAGCTGTAAAGAATCATTCTCCAACATTATACCATATAATTGCTCAATCATTACACAAACTCAATAGCCCCAGCCCACTTTCAGCCTGCCTTTGTTTTCAGTGTGTGTGAATGTTTTCCACCCTCCCTTCAGCCTGTTGTCTCCGGCTCCATGACCGCGTGTACCAGCTCCCACTCCTGTCCTGGAGAAGTCAAGGACATTACAAGAGACACTGCAAGCAGGCCTACCAGCTATAGGTACGTAAGAACAGTCGAGCACTTCTACCTTTAAAACCATTAGCAAGCCTTTTGTATATTGAAAGTCTTTGCTCGGAAAAGCTGACCGATTCCTCATTGTGACCGGGCCGTGGGAGGAGCTGTGATGGCTCATTATGAGCCTGGCAATGGCATATTTCAGATTTGTATGAAAAGATACAGAAACACTTGAAGGTACCCCTTTTTTCAGAATGTGCATTCCTGTTCTCAGTGCACTCGCTACTCCTCTGGCTCCAACGTCAAGCATTAAAGATCACTGTACAGCCTATCATGCAATCATCAGAGGATTTCTGTGATCAAATTAAATAATTAAATAATAATAATAATAATTAAATTTGCATTTACAATTCATGTTTAAAGGCAGACATATGGTGCCTGGTATGATGCCCTGCCTATAGTGTGTGACTCTGAGGTCACTGACTGGTCCTCCTACTCCTTCTGGACCCGGTCCTTCTTTGGACATTCTGGGTTTGCTCCAGTTAGGACAGGAAAGCAACTGGCTGAGAGAGTGGGGGAAGAGGCCATTAACGGGGGGAAATCAAGAACAAAAAGAAAAACGGTTTTTCACTCCAGCAAAGTGTGGCATTTAATATTTTGTCTGGATGTTGATTTGTTCTATTCACAGAAGGGCTAAGAAACGCATTGTGTGTGCATTTCAGTCCAATCCTTGAGATGTTACTCGATCATGAATATTTTCTCAGGGGAACAAAAGAGAAATGCTTCTGTGCTGTAGTTCATGATAAACAGTCTCTCCAACATTCCACGGTCGCTGACACACCAATTATGAAGATACAGTGACTGGGAAAGCTGGAGGAGGAGGAGACAGACGTTTGACTGCAGCCAGCATGAAGAAAACAACTATTATTCATTTCTGTAGGCAAGAAGTAAAAGAATATAACAAGCAAGAGCCTCCAGTCAGAACACATGAACAAAATGGAAGATGACCTACAATTTCCACTTAAGTCATCAGCAGACATCACTTCATATGGCCTGGATGTCCGCGGTGAAGTCACGGCATTATTACCGGCCCACTCCTGCAGATAAAGCACTAAAAGAGCCACAGGTGGAAAGACATCCGACCTGCATTTGATGACTGTGGTGTAAAAGGAACTACTGTCAAGTACTACACAAGAACACAATAACTTTCATTGGCTACAAATGTGTAAAAGCCTTCCAAGAACCACTTCCTTTCTTTCCAAAAACCCAACAGCCATGATGGCCTAGGTTTTGCACGCTTACAAGTGGGCTATACAAACTGTAGCTGAGTATTGTGTGTGTTCAGGCTATTTATGTGTGTGTGTGTGAGAGACGATGGTTAAAAGCTGAACAAAAGCGACTGCTAAACAAGCAACAAATGACACATTCATCGGGGTGAGGGATGCAGCTCCCGAGTACAGGCCTCTGAGCCAGCTGCCGCTCGTTACAGAACTGGAAACCAGTCACAAGAGACAGAGCCCCGCGTACAAAAGAGCGACTGTTTGCCTCCGAGATTCATTTTTCAGATGACAAACGAGGCAGCGTGTGTGCATACGCGCTGAGAAATCAAGAGGTCGGAGCTCATCAACCGGGCTTTCTTTGAGACGGCAGCATCTCCGATTAGGCGCGTTCTTTACGAGGCACCATCTTAGGTCATCTGATCCATAAAGAAAACAGAAACCCAAGACGTGCTGCTCTCTCCTCGGGCTCTCCAGTAAACCCAGCGCTCGACAAACGTCTGTTCGACAGCTGCAGCGTTCCGGGCTCCAAAAAACATGAGAGCGCCAACCTCCTAAACACAAGTATGTGGATGAGAGTCAGCTCCAACGGTCTGTAAACAAAACTGCTGCTATTTAATCCAGAAAAAATACTGTTCCCCGTTTGATTATCTCTCATTTCTACTCTAACAGCCGAATGGAGATAACACTTTCCAGTTTCTCTCGGATAAATGTGGCTCATTCACAAGAGAGAAGAGACAAAGCCAGCCACTGAGGAGCTGCAAATTATTCAAATATGCAAAGATAACCGTCGCAACCGTTGAAATTAGCAGCTGCGTTCTGTGTGTACTGTATATTTCCTGCCACGCTAAACGACCACCAGGCGAGACACTGAAATGATTAAACTTTAACAATTTATTCATGTTGCGCTAGAGGCAGAGCACATGAAAACACTCCTGCCCCAACACGCCTCCTGCTACATTTCCAACGGGATGTGAAAAGCGTTTCCAGTCAAACCTGTTGTGGTGAAACTGAACAGTGTTGATGGGTGGGGGGGTCAAACAGGAATACATTTAAACCAGCCTCGTTCAAGTGTGGAATATGCAACACTGCCGGCTTCATATATCCGTTAGAGTGACTTTCACTTTTACGTTAACGTTCCTCACGGCTTCATTGGGAACATGACAGAATGAGCTGCATGCTGGCGCAGTATTTCTCACCTCGAGACAGAGAGAGGTGAGGCCAAAGAGTCACGACAGCGAGGGAGGAGAGTGCTTTCTGTTCTCTGTCGGGCTGCACCGCTGATGGATGCTCGGGGTGGCTTATGACAGTGGAACTACTTATACTTTTTCACAACGCTTCGATCACCTAGTGTTATTTATAGCGAACCCTGCTGCGC